AACATAAATTATAATATATATGATTAAAAAAATAAAATGAATCATAAATTAACAATAAAAAATTATTAAATTTAATATTTCGAAAAAAATATTATATCTAAACATATAAATATGAATAGTATAATATATCTATAAAAACACATAAAGAAATAAGGTAAATATAACTAAGAACTAATCAATAATATCCAATACCATAAACCATACGACAAAAACATAATCCCTGATAAAGAAAACTAAATCCTGAATCCTAAACCCTGTACAATAAAAAAAATAATAAATAAATTTTATTTAGAACGTTTATATCTGCAACATATACTATTATATTTTATAATAAATTCATATATTATTTTATATGCCAAATGAAAAAATTTTAATAATGGAACAAAAATAATACAAAATATAGTAAATACCATTATACATTACATATTATATTTATATGAATATATAGAATATGCATTATATCTATTGTTTATATCTATGTTTTTATTTTGCATAAAAAATATACATAATCATTATATATATATTTATAATATTAATCTGCATTAACATTAAATGCTTCTTAAAGTTCATATAAATCTGAATTATTTGTACATGATGTATTTAATGTTTTCATATAATTTATGTAAATTCGATAATGAATATATTTATGCTTATAACGTTATTCATATATAGATAAAAAAATTAAGAAATCATGAAACAAAAAGTTCATTTTAAATATTGATATATTAAGTGCTTTTTATATTTAGCTATTTTTGAGGGTAAAAAATACTGTTTTTCAATTTGTATTAAACAAGTATAATATTAATGTGGTTTGTACTTAATTCAGATATTATATATTAAAAAAATATACATTATAATATTTATTATAATTAACATTTAAATTAAGAAATTGTTTTGTAATCAAAATATAATTTATAAAAACCTACTAGTACCTTTTATGTATATAAGTTTATATATTTCATTAAAAAACATTATATTATATATCGCCGAAACAAAAGAAAAAATGAAAGCAGGAGTATATATGCTAATTTTTTAATAATATATTACTTATAATTGTGTCGACTATTTTTTAAGGGAATGTAGTTTTATTATTTAATTTCATGATTATATATTTTATGTATATTTTTTTTTGTAGGATATTAAGAATTATTTATTACTATCAGAAAAAATTTATGGTGAACTCAGTGAAACGAATTTTGTCTTTGATACTAATGAAACGTGTAATATGTATAAAGATTCTTTTTCTAAACATGAAGGTATAAATGATATTTGCAAAAGACTTTATAGTATATTGAAGGAGATAAGTAAAAAAAAAAGGGGCGATTCGTCTGAAGTAAATAAATGCAATTTTTTGCATTATTGGTTATACGATAAAGTAATAAAATCAATAAAGGATAAAAATGAATCTATATATTTTGACATTATTACTAAATTTTTAATCGTCTGGAATAAAATTATCGAAGATTTCAATCCAGACAATTATAAGTGTCTTTATGATTCAGGATATCTTCATAATATTAGCATAAAGGATTTTATATTAAGAAAAGATATGTATGATTATTATTATAATTATAAGGAAATTCAATTGAATAATTTATCTAATTTAAGTGGGTGCCGTGAAACTTGTGAATACTTGGAATATATGAAGAATAAATATATTGAATATAAATCTGAATGCTCGGAAACATCTATTAATGGAAATAAATATGTATGTATATTTAATGATTTAAATAAATATGATCCTGCTGAACTTATTTCTACATGTAATTGTGAGTCACTTGAATATAAAGAAGAGTTGTCAGTGCCTAAAGGTAATAAAACCTTAGAACAGAGTGAATTATCTACTACTTCACTTATGAATAACACTAAGAAAGTAGATAATATCTCTTTTTTTAATGTTCGTCGTGTAATTATTCTGATATCGTGTTTACCATTGATTTTAATTTTTTTTTTTTTTCTCTTCAATAAAGAGGTAATGTATTATTTGCTTAAAAAACTTAATAATAGCTTTTAATAATAATTTTTTGTTATATAATTAAGCTTATAAAAAAATATATAAAAAGTACATGCATATTATATATTTTACTATTGAACATTAGATATATGCCTTAAATATATTGTTAAATAAGGCAAATTTAATAAAAAAGAAAATTTTAGCTAAATTGAATTTTGAAGAAAGTTCTGAAATTTCAAGATATGCTTTAAAAGATAAAACAGCAAGAAATGAAAATTTAAGCCATTTTATATCTTATTATAATGCATATGCTGAATAAAAAATAAATGATGTAAATATATTTTAATTATCTTCAATATATTTCATATGGAACAGGTAACAAAATAATTATATTACAATATAAAATGAATTTAGTCCGCAATATAGGGTTTAGGGTTAAGGTTTAGAGCTTTAGAAATATCTGATATATAAATATATATTTATATATTTACAAATATCATTATACTAATTATTTTAGAGTTAATTTAGTAAAGTGGTAAATTATAGTTTTAAAAAATATTCAATATTATAATATACTTACGAACATGGAATTCGTGAAAATTGCATGATCAGTGAAATTAGCATTCGTTATAACTCTGTAAAAGAAACTTTGCAAGATGGGTCGAAAAATCATAAATCCTGTAGGATGTACTATATCAATTTTCTACTTTTGATAATTCATAGGTAAATCTAATATAAAGAAATAGAAATATTTTTTAGTTAAAATATATACTTGTTGTAATAAAGTGTCCCTATTGGTTATTTCATTTCTTTTTTTAAGGTAATCATTGAATACTTATGAATTAATGCCGAATGTATATATTTTAAGGATGATAATGGATTATAATTAATAACTGTACAATAAAGTTATATTTTGTAATGAAATAATTTATTGTTATTAAGTTATATTTTATATTCCAATAATATGTATCATATATTTTAAGATATATACATTTATGTACATTAAATATAGAGA